GATTTTCCGTAGCACGGATAGATAGGCATGTCTGTCTGTCTAAAACTTCAAACACAGACATCTGCAATTACAAGCTCTTTAATTAAGGTTTCACAAATCACAAACGTGGTTTTAAATGTTCTGCTATTGGAGCAGAATAATGAGGTCCAGGTTTTAAGTGCCCAGGTGGTGTAGTTTTGGAATTAGAGCAGTTCTAGTGTGATCCAGATGCAAAAAGGGGTCTGGAATGACCCTTTATTGAAGTTTCACAAATCCGAGAAATCATTTTTAATCCAGGTCCCAAAGTTCACAAATATCAGACCGACAGTTTTGTGTCTCTGCGCAGTCAGGCAATGGCTGCATATTTATGCTTGATTACTTTTTTGCTAATATAAGTGGACAGATCTTAATTAAATGCTCAGCTTGGATTTAATTCAAATGAAAAAAATTATAGCAGCCTCTCAGTCCATTGAGCAAGCAAAGAGCTTATTTATTATATGTTTATACAATTACAAGTCACAAATAGTGTTAAAATGTAAATTTTTTGTCAGTAACTAATGTCACATATTTTCTACATAATGCTAAACAATAACTAGTTGGGTTCAATTCTCTTTCATGCTCAGTCTTTTAGAGCAAGACAATTCACATTGCTTTTAGCACCATCTCGCGGTAAAAATAGAGAACTACATTTAGACGGCGAAAGCGTCATTACGTAAACATACTGTTGACGTGGCCTGAACAGTGGAAACAGCACGTACGTAAGAAACCAACTAGCATTAAGGTGAGAGCGGAACTAATCCTGTGGAGTTATGGGAATTTCCGTGGACCATTAGCTATCCTGGTTTCTCTTTTAACAGGTAAAGACAATTGTTAATGAATATCTGCAAATCTCATTCCGACTGCAGTTAAACAGCTACAAAGCTTATTAACATCAACTAAATATTCCTATGTGGACGCAAGGCAGTAGTAGCCTAGCTTAGCTTCAACTAACCGATCTCACTTCGCTTTCAAGCCAAAGAGAAAACAATTAGTGTACACTACGTTGTTGTCTTAAAATTAACCCAGCAGGTAACTCAGATATTTAGTCTTAAGATTATTGCTGCGCAGTTTTGTTTCATATCAATGTCTCCCGCTCAGTTAATTGACTCAAAACTCGGTTTATTGGGATAAAATCGGTCATTGGCTCGTTCAGCACAAAGTAACATGAACTCATTCATGTGGCATTTACACAATAGCTGCGCTTATCACACCCAAAAATGGCCCGGGAACTAAATGAGTTGTTTTGAGTTAATGCATTTGAATTAAAATAGTTGTTTTACTCTAGCTTTGTGTTAGCTAACATGCTCCTCTTTATCTACCGGTCTATTTATATTCAAAAGAATATGGTGAGCGGCTTTTCCATCTTCTGATTTTGTATTTTTAGAGAGGAGACTTACCAGTTTGGTCTTGAATTGTCATAAAAGTTATATAAACTGGCTTTAGTCTTGTGGCATATCAGTATAACGTAATCCATTTAAACTCCCAATTTCTGTTTTTTGGAAACTATCACCTGGGAATACTGATTCCTAGATAGCTTTTGTTTTTCTACCTTCCCTGCCACAAGCAGCCATGATTATTTATTTTATGAGGGACGGAACCAAATTGCAGACCAGCATGACTATTTCAACTTAAAGAATTGCTCAAACCTCTCTGACACCAAACTATTTATCTTATCTTGTTTCATATGCTCTGGACATCATCTAGTCAGGACTGGGTATTTATTGATCCTTAGATAACACTTCTGTAGCCGATAATGACAGACTTTTGTTTCCATAAATGAATAAATGTGGGTATTGGATTTATTCAATATTCTGAGCTTACATCAGATTTTTCCATCGTTATGGGTTCTTTTGATTAAAGGACATTAGGATATTTCTTTCAGTTATGCCATATCAAGCCTAACTTGCATGTATTGGTAAAAATGTTTTGTCGTATCTGTTGAATTGTTTTTGCACAAATGAACTTGTGCATGCTGTGTGAACGAATAACTTTTCAGAATTTTTAGATTCTTTTAATCCATCACCTTGACTAAAGCAGTGTTAGTGAATAGTCTGGGTATGTGTTAACTAAATATATATGGAAGTAAGGCATCTGTACTCTTTTTCTCAGAGTGAGGGAAAATGTCCAGTAGAAGTCAACACTATGGGTTCCAGTCAGCCACCATGGTGCAGCCGGCCAATGGCGGCCATGCCTACCTGTTTGGGACCAACGGCTCAGAAAACGACCTGTCAGAGGAGGATGGAGAAAGCTTTGAGCTCCGATCACGGGGTAAGGAGAGGCTGCGGAAGAGCACATCCAAGGAGCGACTGGATGACATCATCTACCTTAGCAGAGACGTCCAGGAGAGCGACACCCTGAACAGTATTGCCCTGCAGTACCACTGCTCAGTATGTCCTTTTTTTTTCTTTTTTTTTATATTTTTAAGCATACAGAACTGTTGTCTCCCTCTCGATTTGTAGCAAAGTGCTACAGTTACTGGATGAGTTCAGACTTAAGATATCTAATTTGCAGAATCTCTCTAATCTCAGAGTGACTATACACATTAGAGTGACTATACACATTAAGTGGTGAAGCTTACTGTTTTGTTTTGAAGAGATGAAGAAGTATAACACTCTGGCTTTACACCAGCTGCGATGGGTTTGCTTTGCATGGCTAAATTTGCATAATTGTAGCTACATGTTTATACTGTCATCACTCACCTTGTTCCAGTTTAATCGACTGTCTGAAGTAGAAAATGTTTTGTGTAATTTATGGCTGATTTCATCCACTGTTAAGTAACTAATACATTTAGAAAGAACTAAAAAAGGGTGCTCTTACATGCTGTTGGAAAATATTTGTCCACATTTTTTTTTAACTGTTTCCTTATTTAAAAACAGACACTACACTATAAACCACACAGAGAGGCTTGAGCTTCTCGCGCAGCCTCTTATGTATTGTCTTGCGAGCCAAAATGAGAGTTATGATGTTCTGGAAATGTAGCGCTGTTTGTGTAAAAGCCTGCCACAGACATTGCTATTATGTCCTGGAAGCTTTCAGCCATCTGAGTGCAGAAGTATTGGATCATTTTGCAGCATAAGCAAAGCAGCTGTATGAGCAAGAGACTGACCAGCATGATGGGGGGAGGGAGGGGATAAGGAAAAAGAATCTTGTTTAAATTTTGGTCCTTTGATTTCAATAGATTTAGTGTGTTCTCAAAAAAGAAATGATGCTGATCTAAGCAGGAAGCTGCTACCGATACCTAGCTAAAGTGTTAGGTACAGTTTTTGGCATCATGCATTAAATATATCAAATGTTTTCTCCTTTGTCAGGCTGTTGACATATTTAAGAAAAGAAACACACTAATAACTCAACGTAGAGTATCAGATGCAATTAAGTGATTGTTGTTTTGTAGGTGGCGGACATTAAACGAGCCAACAACCTCCTGACCGAACAGGACTTCTTTGCTCTACGTTCTATAAAAATTCCAGTGAGGCGTTTCAGTGTGCTCACAGAGACTCACAACGCCGGTCCTCCCAAACCCGTCTCACCCAAACCCATCTCACCCATCGGGGTCAGACGGGTCGCCCAGGTTTCACCCACTGTGCCTCTCCCCACAGAGTCCTCCACGGACTCTTGTTCTTCCACAGACAGCGTGGAAGGATTCCTCCTGGAGAAGGACAAGGATATTGAGCAGCTGGTGAAATCCACGGGCCCGTCTCGGAGCAGCCTCAGCGAGGTCGTGTCGTCCTTGACCCTGCAGCAGCCACTGCTGGGGGAGGCGGAGTATAAACCAGCGCCTAGAAAGGATCCCTACTACGGAGCGGACTGGGGCATGAGATGGTGGACGGCCGTGGCCATCATGCTGTTTGTCGGCATCATCACACCTGTATTTTATCTGCTCTACTATGAGGTTCTTGTAAAAGCCGAGGTCAGCCATCACGGCGCGCCTACCCAGACCAATGTCGACGGGCAACAGGAACAGCTGAAAAGTAAAACTTTGGACATTCACAGCGAAGACAGTGATCCTGCGGAGCGACTTAACCTGGCCGCCCAAATAAACCCACAGGGAGGCGGTGCAGACGAGGCTGATGCTCTTAAAAAGTCATTGCTTGAGAAAACATAGAACTTTGATTCCCACACGTCAAAAACTAAGTGAATTAATATTTTTCCCATATTCAAAAGGTCTTGTATTGATTAAAATAGTTTAATAGGATTTGCTGGGATGGACTGAAAACAGTAAAGGCTGGTAAACGGGAAGTGTTGCAATAACTTTTGTTTCAGTCTATTCATTTAGATGCTTTTGAAACTGGGAGCATTGAAGGGCTGAAACTAACCTCAGATTGGAGTGGTAGGTCAGCTGGTGTACCCAGTAGGAATTACATGTCTTTCTTTGTAATTTATACTCGTGTATTTAGGCCAGCTGTAAAGGAATATATATTTTGAAGAAATTAGATGCATTATTTTCCTTATATTTATTCCATGATAAATCAGTGGCTGTATATTCAAATGTTGTATTGCAACATTTTTATCAATCTTTTTTATTCCAAAACAACATTGGAACAAAACCACTTACTGTTTTCAGAGGTAGGCTGCTTCCACTGTGATTGATCAGGATTAATTTATTGCAAAAGCAGCTTTAGTTTTACCATCAGTATTGAAATTCCTTGATTCTATTTTTTGCTGGGTATTGAGAATCACCCCATAATTTCCATTGAAAACTGGACCTAGTTGGGAATGTTTTGACGTCTAATCATGTGAACTTTTAGACCTTGCTATAGCCCTTTTATTTCATCACAGTGTTATCTTGATTTTCTTTGACAAAGCATAATTGACAAAATGACAGTATGTGCCTTTAAAGTGGTTCAGCTTGTAAAATAAATATATTTTCAAAACATTATGTCCTTCTGAACAATTTCACACACTCTTATTTACAATGTTGTTCAGAGAAAATCTGTAGCACAAAATAAAGAACTGCTTTGCAAAAAGTGTTTAACGTAAAGGTTTGCGTGGGAGCCCCGTCGCTTCAGTATGTTGCTTCTCCATCCATGTCGTCGTCGCTGCCGGCAGCAAAATCTTCGCCGTTGTCAAAATAGCTCTCAATGTAGTCGTTGTCCTACACAGAAGCAAATGCAACAGTAAGCCCAGGCATTACATGAAGTAAAATGTTTTCAAATTAGCTCTAAATTTACCTCTTCGATGTCTTCTTCCTCATATTCCTCCTCCTCTATTTCTTCCTCGTCCTCGTTTTTTGTTTTCTTCTCTGGCTCATCGTCTGACTTTTCCGCATTTCCGTCATCTTTCTTTTCCAGTTCCTGTCATGTCAACATACCTGACTGAGAATCAAGAATATTTTTCATTTTTCAAAAGTAGCCTTTTTCACATTCTGGTACATCGTAGTTGCAAACTTCAATGCCTCACCGGGTGTTCTGTGTGAAATCGACACAATGTGGTGCATAATGTAGAAGTGAATGTGGGTTTTAAAAAAAGTTTACAACATAAATAACTTTAAAGTGTGACGTACAAATTTGCTATGATGCCTTTAATCTATATTATAAAAACTGAAATATATAAATGGTGAAACTAATCATTTTTTAGCTTTTTTGTGAACCCTGCACAAATTCAGAGCCCACAAAAAAACAATCCTGACATGTGCAGTAAGCTCTCAGTAGGAACACATAAGGAAAAGAGAAGAAACTCACATCCAATTTGCTCAGAACATCCGCTGCCTCTATGCTTGAACCTTTTCCACTTTTTTTATTCTTCGTGACTGAAATAGTGAAATATATAGTGGCAAAGTCAAACCTGTTACACACATGACGGGTTTAACGTACCTTTTGTTCGAGGTTTTTTTGTTCGGGGCATCAGTTCTTTTGGAAAAAGGTTCCAGTCTAAAACACCAATGAAGATAAATGCGTTTGTTTCAGGGTGATTTTTTTAAATTTGTGGTTATTTTTTGGCATTGTGGTGTTACATACTAACCTGGAGTCCATGCCTCATCTTCCTTCTGGTGCTGCTTCAGGTATCGCTCTGTGTATTTCTCCACGTCTGTTTTATGAAAACAAGAGCAACCTCAATTTGTCTTGAGATAACTGTAAAGTTCTGCCACACATCTGAAGAGTTTTCCACACAATTATTGATCCTTGGCCATTAGGCCTGCAATTTAAAAAGTCAGCAGCATTTCTTAGCGTTGCATTTTCAGTTTCTGTTCACAAGGCTTCACTTGAGGAAAACGTGAGGCCCTGTGGCTTCATGAGCTCAATTCACCTGATAACACCTGCAAATAAAACACTGAAAAACGGAACTATTTGCTCAAAACAGTAACTGTGAAATTCTTGTAACGATAAATCAAAGAAATCAGATTAAAACTGCAAGCTGAGATGGCAGCTATAAATCAATCCTGCCAGAATTATGCTCTTTCGCTTTTCCATGACGTGACCCATATTAAATGTATTAGGCCCTAAAAGCTGCATTAGCTTCCCTTCCAGCAGTCCAAATTGTTTTCCTGCAGAAATTCTCAGACGTCGGGTCTCTAATGGACCACTCTGCTTCTCACCTGCTCTGCCGGACTCTGCTTTGATATTGTAAGACAGCCGCTGCATCGTGCCTCTCATTTCCTGCTTCAGGGCCAGCATGTAGTCTTCATCTTCACCAACTTTGAGGGGGACTGGTTTAAAATCTGTGTTCTGCAGAAAATGAGATTTTTTTCTTACGATGAGAAAAATAACTAGGTACAGACATTCAAGAAAACAGACAAAAAGCCTTTAGCCTTTGAGATGCTTTACTTTTTAATTTTTTTTTTTTTTTTTTTTATTAGATTTGATTATGCTTACAAGTTTTACAAGGAAATTGACATTTTCAAGTTTGCAGCTGAATCTTCAGGAAACCAGATCCCTAATGGTGAAATCAGGGGATTCTCACCATCAACTGCAAAAGTTTGCATTTCCTGCAAAAGATGCAGCGTGAATGTTGTAGGCTGAATACTTTTAGTGAAAATTTTAGACGCATTTGAAGTCCACTGTAGAAGACATGCAGAAATGTAAGAAATAGCCAGAAGAAGAAGTCGAAAGCCTTTAAAACGCTAAGAGAAAAACTGTAGAAGAGGAACGAAAACTTTCAGTTCATGCAGAAATCACCCAAAAAGTATCAGAAATTCAAGCAGAACACTGTTTACAAAGCTAAACTGTAAGATTGCAGCAGTTTATGAGCTAAAACAAATTAAAAATCTAGAGCTAGCTAAAATACTAATAACAGTCTCGAGGCTTGATGTACAGTAACATACTCTGTGCAGTGTGAAAAAACATGTAAAATACAATACAGTTTGTCAGAATGTCCAATGATTGATATATGTAAAAACATCTACATCTATTTAACTGTCAAATAGGTGGACAAAAAAAATTAATTCTTTGTCGTGTCTGAAGCCCCATGTTTATGCATAACCATCAATCTTTTGGGGAAAATATAGGGGCTGATTTAATTCATTTTAGAAATACAGGCTTGAAAAACATCCAAGCAATGGGCAATAAACTATATTTAAGCCAAATGCTAATATCCTTTTTTCCACAAACTGTTTATATGGCTTTAACAGAACTATATGTTCAATGTAAAATGTCCTTTTACTATTTTATAGACCTGAAACTGATGCAAACAGAGGATTTACATCCCACTGTTTGGAAATACAACTTTGGATGTTTAACAGTGAAATAAAAACTGACAGGTTATCCTGGGCTTCTTGTATGTATATATATATGTGTGTGTGTGTGTGTGTGGGGGGGTTCTTACTGGATACAGCGGGCTGGGCCCCACCCTGGCTTCTGGCATGTTGCCTCTGCCGATGCCCAGGGCCTCTATGTTGAAGGTAAAGGCAGCCACCCCACGACCCTTGCCTGCCATGACTGCAGGTCTGTCCTGTACCTGCAACACGTCAGTGGTCAAACTTCCTGGAGCACGTGCTCACACAACTCAGGATAATTTCATCATTAAATGCAGCATTCGTCAGCAGGTAACGTAAAACAGCAGATGGATGCATTCAGTTTGAATACTCACTTCGAGAGTTATTGGAGAACTCTTTGAATGCAGAATTGCAAACCAGACGTCGGTTCCACGGATATAAAACGCCATTTAGCTGCTACTGAGTCTCCCTCCACGTTTTCAGTCCCGGTTTTATCGTCAACATTGAGCTTGTCTTGGTAATTTCTCGTTCCAGTCAATTAATCTGGTGAAAATAAGAAAAGAACTGTCTCTTAGTGGGACTTACATTACTTTAACGTGTACCGGCGTGGCAACGTGTGCACACTGAACGAACTACTGGCATAATATAAGACGCCGATGTGTCGGTCGTGAACGAGCCGACTTAGTCAGCCAACTCGTTCAATTGAAGATTCCTTTTAGAGTCTGGACTTTTCCATTTATTTCCTGCCTGTAGGAGAGGGTTTCAGAAAAAAAACTCTTTTTTTATTTTTAACAAAATAGTATGAGTACACATGTTGCTTGTGCACCTAAAGCTGAAGTATATTTTGTTTTTTAAGGCTTACAGGGCATGGTTCAACTCTTCTAAATTTGGAGGTTGGAGGTCAGATCTGGGAGTGCCAACATATGTTGAGTGTTTTTTTTTTTTTTTTTTTTGGAATTGGTAATTTATTCTGTGATTTAAAGAACATGTTTAAAAATGCTGAATAGGCCTCTAGTTTGAGGTATCAGTCAAACCATAATAAGTCCAAATAAATAGAAAGTCTGCAGCTTTCCTTCCGTTTGTTGAACACAAACAGAGGCGGTATTAGACAATGAACTAGGGTTGATCTACAACCTCTGACTTTCCTAGATTTTACTTTAAAGCTAATTCCTGCTGTATTTTCAACTGGAAACTTGGGAGGGAAGCCTATTTTTTTAAAAAAAACAAAGAGTATGAGCTTTAGTTTGCAAGTGTATTGTCACCATTTCCCATTAGCTTTCAGCGCAACTAGCAATGTGGGATAAAACATAATTGATCAGACCTATGGACTTTTTGAAAGTATTTTTAAAACTGACTATCCATTTCTATTGCTGGCTCTAACAATATAAACTCTGAAGTTTATATGATAGTATTGTGGGCAAAAACAGTAAGCATAAAAACTTTGGAGACATTTACATGTTAGAAGTAGAATTAAGTGAACAGCCTAAAGAGCCTTGTGACTAGGATCCTTAAAGGAATCGGAATTCCCATCACTATGACAGCTTGTGTAAATGTCGCTTTAATTTGTCTGACTCAATGGAAGGCGGGGTCTAACTACATCCAATGAGTATTCAGAGGAAGTACAGCGTCATTCACACATTTGACCAATGAGCATGCGCTTTCTTTGAACGGGTGTGTCCGTAGCAACCATCACATTAGCCTAAATGACAACATATCACTGCCAGCTACGAGGCTGCTAACACCTCCCCTAACGGCACAACACTTGCTGAAGGTAACCTGGACTACTGCATGACCGGGGATGTCTGCAGCCGACTGGTACGCCCACAAGTCGCTGGGAGACGGACTCTTCTGGATCCAGGAGCGATTCTACCAGTCGGAGAACCGAGCCAACATCTGGCTTCTCCGCGGCACCCACCAGGACGTGGTCATCGACACGGGTCTGGGCTTGAGGAGCTTACCTGAGTACATCGACGCCAACGGGCTGCTCGGGAAAGACCCGCAGAGGAAGAACCCGCTGCTGGCGATCGCCACCCACGCTCACTTCGACCACTCGGGGGGCCTGCATCAGTTCCAACAGGTGGGCGTCCACAGCGCGGAGGTCGATGCCCTGGCGAACGGGGACAACTTCGAGACGGTTACCTGGCTCAGCGACAGGGAGATAGCCGTGGCTCCCAGTCCGGGATGGAGGGCGAGACACTACAAAGTCAAGGCTGTGCAGCCCACACACATCCTGCAGGAGGGTGGGTAGGAGATGCTAAGCCTCTCGCTGGGGGGTGCGGATCTGAGATCAGACACCTGGAATGATGCATGCAGGGAAAAGCATTTGCTTACCGGTATAAATAAGCTGGGAAAAGGCCTTCCTGAGTCACCGTAAAACTGGCAAAAGTCCAACTTTGAATTTTTAAATTCATGCATACGCACACCTGCACTAAACATATGCAGAGATTTACCTGTCTGAGGCAACAGTGGGAAGGAGCATTATTACAAAGCTTTATCACAACCAGTCTCTGCATTAAAAACGACTAAAATATTATGGTGAACTGAAAAAATGTCATTGCCATTTTTCCAAAATATGCGATCAGTTGGGCATTCATGAGCCTCCCAAGCAAACCTACAGAGATCAGTCATTTTTTTGTTTCCAGCAGCTCTCCCTTATCTACATATCTGCTCTATTTATAGTCAGAGTGCTGATCACTTTGATGTTTCTTCCAAGAATGGAAGCGGAGACTGGGCACACTTCCTGAATTCTGGTATTCAGGTTCACTTTGTTGCAGCAGCCACCAGTTTTTATTTATAAGGTAAATATTCAACATCAGCGATTACTGAGCAGAATAAATCTGTGTAAGGTTCTGAACAAACACTGTTTCAATATCACTTGGTGGTCTTCCCTATAAATTCATGGTCTCTATAAGGTTACTTCAGTTACATTTCATCACTGTCAGGGAATAGTTTCTATACGGCCAGTGAATATTCCAAAATAATCTTTGCTGTGTCAGAGCCACTTGGTGCAGTTGGTATATCTTATTGCACGGCATGCCAGCCTCACCCTTTGTCAAACTGTGCAAGTCATACCTGGTTTGGATGAAATCAATACCAAACGGAAGGCTTCAGATTCTGCACAAGATAAGAGCTGGAGGGGACATGAGGGTCAGGCAAATTTAAAAGACATTGAATCTGATTACAGAAGAATCCAAAATATGTTCATACCACCTTCAGCTTCCTCAACATTTACAACCATTAGCCCTCATGTATTTCAGTGAGAATGCAGCGGTTCAGATCAGCATTCTGCTTCTCATGTGAATTTTCAGTTGCTTTATAATTTTAACCGAAATGAATAGAGACTTTAAAAATTGCATTGAAATAGTACGCTTATACATCTGTCCAATGATTTGTTTTACATACACTGAAATCCTTTATTGAACAAAATAGGGTTGGGCTGCCTGTGTGTGTAAGTGTGCTCAACACGGCAAAAGACAATATTAAAAAGATAATTGGCTTGCATTTGTATTGTGGTTTATGAAGACTTTCTCCAAAAATTAAAAGAAAATTAATATTGCTTGAAGAAAGAAAGCAGATAAGTGGAATTGCCAACATCCTCTTATGTTTTGATGTTGTATGTCTTTTCAGTAGCCTGCACAATTCTATTTTATTCAGTAGAAAAAACTAATTTCATCAGCAATGTATCTTTTTGTGGCTTTGGATAGATTTTAATTAGAAAAGAAAGGGGGTGAAAATGGCTCTTTGAATCACAAATCTTGCATAATCCTTGTTTGGATCAAATCATAGTCATGTGTTTGATTGGACAGACAAAATCTGAAAGCGCATTGACAAAAACTTTCAGTCTCTAGATGTTGAATTTAGGTGTTTGTTGCATTTTTTATTTTTATGTGCATATAAATTTGAAAACCCTGCATCATTGTTATTGCACTTCACAATCACGCATCAATTTCTGTGAATCTCTCACATAAAACTCCCATGACACGCGTTGAAATTTGTGTCTGCAATGTGCCCAAAGTTCAAGGGGCCTCAATATCCTTTGAGTTGTAAGCTGTTCCTGCCGTAAAGTTATGCCTGTGCATCAATAACTTGAGCATTTCTCTTTCCTCCTCCTGTCTAGGCGATGTTATTAACCTTGGTGACAGACAGCTGACGGTGCTACACATGCCGGGTCACTCTCGGGGCAGCATCTGCCTCCACGACCGCCACAATAAGCTGCTGTTCAGCGGAGACGTCGTGTACGACGGCGCCATGATTGACTGGCTGCCCTACAGCCAGGTCAGCGATTACATCGGCAGCTGCGAGCGTCTCATTGGGCTGGTGGACAGCGAGCAGGTAACACTGAAACACATCATGTCTTGTTTTTGTGTTTATCTGCTTGCAGATGTACATTTAAAGTGTTTGACTGCTGCTTTGATACCGATTCAAAGAAATTATGCTGTTTCGAAGCCAGTTAGTTCAGGAAGCAAGTGTGTAATCCCTTGTATAAAAATAAAATAAAATAAATAAAAATAAAAAAAAGGCATTTTCAGTGTTTCACTCTATAAATTGTTCCCAAAGCTGAAAACTGTTACATCCACCAGGTTGACCAAGTCCTCCCAGGACACTACAACACGTTTGGCGCAAAGCGGCTCCATCGACTCTCGTCCGCGTACATCAGCAGAGCTGGAACGTGCCCTGCAAAGTTCTCTACGCTTGTCTGGAGGACGCTGTCCGGTTTGGCTCTGCGGGCGTCCAACCCTCGCTGTGCCTGCTAATGAGAGTGGATGGCAGAAGCTGGGGGAAGCACAAGTGCAGACAGGAAGATGCTTCAATGTGGAGGACCTAAAATGATAATTTAACTGAACTCATTTAATTGCCAAACTCTATATAAAATGTCTCACTTGAGTCAATAGCTTCCTATGACGTATACAATATAAAGTATTAAAAGTGTTATTCTGTAATGTATTGATCAGTATGTGAATGTTGGTGTTGGTATGATTTTAGGTGTTTTTCTTAATATATTTTAAGCAGATGTGAACTTATAATAGCACAACAATAGTACAGCTGTGCACTACAAACAGAAAACGTGGAGCTTTGGGTTTTTCTCTGTGACATTTCAGTCACCATGGCCATAGCTTTCCTCTATGCAGTCTGCAGTGAAGGCCCAGCAGTGACTACCTCCTATGTTTGTAATTGTGCTTTGAACTGTTGATTATTAATCTATGGCTTTGCTATGAAATTTCTGACAATAAAGTTTTTGCTCAACCTGACTATATTAGTGGACATCTCTCTTGGGATTTGAAGCATTGAAGTGAAAAGAAGCATTTGACCAAACAACTGATTGATGAAGTACAGAGGGCAACGTTTCTGTGAATAGCTCTCGAATAAGGATGCAAAGGGTGACGCAGATGACTACGAAGGTTAGATTTGAATTTTAATGCCCACTGCATAGCAAAAACGTCCTTCAGTGCTAACCTTTTATTTCCATTTTTGACACATTACTACTTCAATCGTTAGCATATTAAGTTTGTTATTGTAGTCCACACCACTATACAGTACATTCCATAACCACCTTTTGCTTTATGCTTTAATTGCCGTGAATCTTCTGGGTTACGTCTCTTACTAGCTTTGCCAGGTAGAAAATACTG